TATGCCTACAGCTGATGATTTTTTTGCCGTAAAACCAAAATAGTTTCATCCATGCCGATATTCCGGTCGGTTAGCGTGAGCCCTGACTGAACTCTGCAGAAACTTCAAATCGATCTTCGCATCGCGATGTAAAACAAAATGTCGGAAAACTTTTCTTTGACACATGCGCATTTGCATAAATGTCTACACACACACATACACACTACACACAATAAAAAACATAGGAAATAGCAAGAGTGATTACAATAGTTCCTATTGCATTACATGCATAGGAACTAAAAAATTGGATGGATAATGAGAACTAATCTTAAGCTTTGTCTACACTATCACATTTTCTTTTGACAAAAAAGCTGTTGTTTGTATGCCCATATATAGTCATGATGTGCCTATATATGGTCATGATGTGATGTCATCATGACCGTATTTAGGTGTGTCGCTCAATTTAAGATAGTGTGGACATGGCTTTATTGACATTTGGAAAGAGTGAAACATCAGGACAGGATTAAATCCAGAAGGATATTTCTATCATATTCCATCAGGAAAGCATATGTGGATTGGTGGTTAGGATACCTGTTTTCTAATCCCAGGAGACTGGGTTCAAATCCATCTTTTTAAACAAGTAAAGCCAATAAATTTAAACATAATCAATCAATCAAAATCAAACTGAAATAGTGTAGGTTCCCATAAATCGACATGTGAACAGCTAAGCCAAAGTTCAGGCTCTTAAAACCTACAATTGGCGGTTTGAACATGAAGCGGTCTCTTTCGCGTCTCTTGGGGCAAAGCACATCATCTACAAGTGAAACCTAGAAGGACGTCCTGGCACAGAATGTATTAGATGCATAGTGCATATCATACATCACTCCTCAGAGAGCGGAGACAGTGGCGAATCTGGAGTTTTGAAATGGGCCCAAATGTAGAGTTGGGCCGAGGATTTAGTGAGGGGGCCTTGGGCACAAAATAAAGTAGGAGGAGGTGACTTTAAACTGCTAGAGCATGATTTTTTTGCTTCAGATATCTTCAATGGGGGGAAGGGGCAACTTGGCATGCAAACTTTTTTCTCCTGAGCGGAGACGGTTACATTGTTGGCCAATATATGCAATATGCAGTCAAGAAATACTGAAACACCAATGCACAAGCGAAAATGAAATAGACTAATTTGATTTGCTTTTCCGAACAAAGTTCAGGCTAAAACTAGAATTAGTAGTCCTCCAGGAAAAAGTAACATTCTGGGCTTATGATAAGACAACATTTGGCAATGTGATTAAAAAAGGTAAAAACTTACGTTGCTTTCCTTAGCATAGAATAACTTTCTGCCTTTTAACTTGAAATACCGCCGTCGCCACCTCTGCAAAGATAAATGTAAAAATATGATGGGTTATATTTCTGTATATTCAAATTTTAACAGATCAAAAGTCAAATAAGAGTAGGATCTAGGATGTACCTGAGGATGCCAATACAAGTGATGACATAGACAATGTTAAGAATTTTTAATTTCTTAATACGCTGCCATCCCTGTTAGCACCATAAGAACTTATCTGTTTGGGATCTACTGAAAGATTTTTTTGTAAGCATTTTGCAACGAACTGAGCATTCAGTACTATTATAGGTGTTGTATCTAGAAATCTTGAAATGGGAGGTGCATATGGGGGTGCGAAGGTCTCATAAGTGGGGGGGCTCAATGATCAGTTGAGAGCCGCTAGTTCTCAAAATAAGTTGATTTTAGGCGATTTATAATTACTTGCAAGTGATTTTTTTTGGGGGCGCTAGAAATTTCTGGAGGGGTGTGTGCGATAAGCACTGAGTACTATAACATGTCAGGTAGCCACCCGATTGACTTGAAAGATTTTTTTGTGCAAGCATTTGGGAACAGTCTGAGCATATGATTCAGTACTATAACACTATATTGTACACACACATATACATACTGTACCATACACAGATAAACACATTGTACGTACAGCTGGCTCTTGTATTAGACATTTCAACAGTAGTGAATGCCCTGTTGTCATTATGTTTATTAATCTACAGGCGTCTACAACTACGTAAGTAGGTTATGTTTGGTCTATATTCCATCTTAAAACACACAAGTCAATCATCAAAACTCAAGTTACTATAGCTTGGAGAAGTGTGCAAGAAAAAGTTCAATTTCACTAACGCTTCGTATGAAATAATCAAATGATCAATTAAAAGATTTATTTAAATATTTTTACGGTGGATTGCAATATATCCATATTTTGGGTTATCATCTAAATTCAACCGACTTACAGTATTGTTTTATCACCTTTATTCTTTGCATTTTTTTTTTTTTTTTTTTTTAAATTCCTGTTTTGATTTAAGTTACAAGTCTGGAGTAAGGAGAAACAGGAACCTAGCCATTCTTGCACTTTTGACCTATTCTTGAACTTTTCAAGGATGATATTAATGTAAAGTTCATACACACAGTATCCCTTCTTACATGAATATAATTATAATAATTATGAATACTATTAAGTTGTTCTGATTAAAGAAACTGCCAGTGTGATATTATATTTTGTATCGGTTTATTTGCAAAGGAATATATTTCCTCATTAAAATTTCTAATGGCAAGATGAATCAATCACACAAAGTACAAGCCAAGTAATTCAAATATAGATTTTGAAATTGTCCCCACAGACAACATACTATATATCATTAACCTTTGCAATTATTATTATTAATCATAGTTTTGTTGTTCTAGACAGTTAATCTTGACATCCAATTTCCTTAATGTAACTTTATTTCTTGCTAACATCAGGGCTGTAAAAAGTTGGTGGTACTGGGTCCGGGCCATGAGTATTTTAGGGCTGGGCTAGCAAAAAATACATTAAAACTAGACCAATATTCAATAGCTAATATATGTGCTAGCAATTATTTTAGCAAAACTAGACCTTAGTCCAGTGAAAAAAATTAACTTTCTACAGCTCTGTAACATGATATTTAATTTGTATATTTTTCTTGTATTTTGATATACTGTATACATGTGGAATGTACCTCAATGTAAGATAGTATAATACATACTCCAAGTATCGAAATTCAAGCCATCGTGTCAGGATTCAATATTTCAACATTAATTATGTCATCATCAACCAAAATTCGGAAAGCACTCAACGTCATTAAGCGATCAAGGCTCAGCGCAGTACTAGGCGACATACAGAAATCAAGCTACAAAATTATTATATAATGACAAGCTAACTGTAACAAAAACAAATTTCATAAATGTTATGAAACCAGATTTTTTTTTCAAGAATTTATGTCATTTAAAGTGTTATGTAACCTTTTTCCATTTATAAGTCTTATTTGTCAAGTTATACTTTACAGTAGTTTGGTGTGTTTGTTTTGTGTCCTTTTTTATTATTATTATTATTATTATTATTATTATTATTATTATTATTATTATTATTATTATTATTATAATAGTACCAACAATTCACTGTAGAATACTCTTGTACAATATAGCCTTTCCATGTTTAAATAAAGTTTATATTATTATATTATATATCAAATTTCAGAGACTACTACAATGATTACAGTTAGTTAGCTTTGATGCCAATATTTTGAAGTTTATGGTGGCGTTAACATATACAACAGATTTATTGGAGATAAACAAATCGGTTTAGTTACTATATCACATCTGTTCACTGACAGTATAGCAATAAAAGTAGTAATTTTGCAAGCTAACATTACACATTCTGGAGTAGATGGGGGCCATATATTATGATGTTACGGTGTAAAGGTTGAGTGCTTTCCGAATTTGGTACTACTATAACTATAAGATGAGATTTTTGTTATATCTTTTTCGTGAATTCGCCATCTGAGAGTCATGCTGACTGTAAATAAAAATATTTTATTTTTGGTCATAATATTTAGATGTTATGGCGTGAAGGTTGAATGCTAGCCGAATTTAGTACTGTACTATAACTGTAAAGGCGCGACTCTTTTTTTATATCTTTTTGTGAATCCACCATCTGATAACAATAAATAACTGCAAATAAAAATATTTTGTTTTTGGCCTTTCATTGCACCTTCCACCATTCAAATATTTGAATTTTTTTTTTCATTAATTTTTATTACGGCCATTGCAGAAATAAAATTTGTCAATAAGAAATCATTACGGTATCTTACAATAAAAAAACTAAAAAGTATAAGCCTATTAATCAGATTCCGAACCTGTTAGCATATCATCACACACCACATTTTTTACTTGTTAATGCGATAGAATCTTCAGCGAGGGTCAAAGGGCATCTTTTTTTACTTCATGCATTTACATACTTTTATTTTTTTTCAATATTATTTTTGTGATTTTCCTCTCTGCCTACATGAATTTGGTAGAGCATTTTGCTAAGAAAGATAATTAAAATTCTATTTTGTTAGCACCCTCCTCTGAAAATTTTGCAATCACAAACCTGGAGGGAACTATAGGATTAAAAATATATATGACAACATTAAAAAAAAAACAATTTTAGCAAAATATTATGTCTAGAAATAAAACTACACACTTAACAAATGTTAATACTACTGTAGGCCTACTAAATCGGACATTGAACGTTTGATGGGAACAAAGCCTTCTGCTTGCATCAGTGCCGAATAAATGGACTAAATCAGAGAGTATCAATGCAAACAATTTAGCAGTTCCTATGCGTATCTTAGAGTGCAATTATTACATAATCCTACGACATGTACTTTGTGAATGTGAATAGGAGTAACAATACTAAAGTAGCATGAGTAGTAATTATGCCAGCTAATTATCAAATCGTTGGGAGATAATTCCGATTCCTTTTACACTCACTCTCCCTGGATCAATATTGTCTCAGATATAATTTAACAGTTGTCGTTAAGCTTTAATGTGTGGTTTGTAGCATCTCCAAAGTTTTCTATTTAAAATAGCGCGATTCTGAAAATGTTTGTTTATTATTGTTTCCTTTAGTAGATTGGAAAAAAAAATCAAATATCTATTAATAAAATTTTTTTTTAAATAATTAAAAATAAAATTGAAAAAAATTGAAAAATTGCAGGCTTCAGGCAATCTGTTGATTTGTTCAGGAAATGAATGTCTTCTATTACCTATAGTGTACTCAAAACCTGACTATAATTGCTTACTATTTACAGATTTTAAAAAATAAAGGTAAGTGGAAATTAATACCCTGTTTCTCAACCACTTTTTTAGGTATCTATCTATTTGGAGGTTATCATTGTTTTTATTACAGTTTAAATAAATTGAAATAATATTGTCTAGGTTTTTGCAAATTCCAATTCAAAATCTTTTTTTTTTATAGTTATATAAATCTTAAATTATTGTGAAGGGTTGTGCATTCAGAACAATAAGATAACACACAATATATTTCATGACAATATTATTCTATAAAAAAATATTTTAATAAATACTCAACATAACAAAGGTACTTGTAATGAAAAGGAAACTGTGAACTAGATGCCAACCCAATAGTGGGGAAACTTTCCACAATACAAATTACGAAAATTAAAAATACATACAAGAAGGAAAACATACTAAAACACTATACAGATGGAACACTTACTTGGAAAGAAGACGTCTGTTTTAACAAATATCCCTCTTTCGTACATGCCTTTAAAAAAAGAAACAACATTATCTGTAACATTACCTTAATTTGGAGTGTACACTAAAAACAGAATTATTTTATCATTCAGTATATTATTATATAACATTTGTCAAAAAAGCATAGAGCAGAAACATAATATATAATCCAATATAGTATGACAGGTTTAAAAACATCCTATTTTAAAATATTTACATTGATTTTATAACTAATCACTTTTTATGTTTATGTACAAACGTTGTAATGAACACAACATATTTCTATTTATATAAAAATACTAAATTGATTTGATACTAATATTATTATTATTAACAAAAAAAAATCATCAAGAGAACATTATTAATATAAAACTAAAAAATGATTAGTTTGTGAAACAAGGTATAAAAAAAGTCTTGCCTTTTAAATCTTTGTCATAGAAAGAAAAATATAAATTACTCACAATTTATGAAAGATTTACATTGATTGCACGTTTGTAAATGATTATACATTTTATTTATGCATACAACATTTTAGTCCGTCCTTTGTTGTTGAATCATCTTATATATGACTGTCTGACGACTACATTGGCAGACAAGATACAAGGACAAAATGGCAATCTATGTAGCGTAGAATTTTTTTTTCTGTATATGACAAATGACACTCAATTTTTCTTGTGCTATTTTTAGATACTGATTGGTTCTTAATGCACTGTATGTTTAATTTATTTCTGGTTATGAAATGTAAACGTGAATATAGATATCCAATAATGAAAAACGACCCCAAACTAAAAAAAAGAATGGTGAAGACATAAATCCCACACCACACAATCTGACGTCAAATGGTATCAAATACGTGCAATGTATTACCGTACGGATGAAAAAAATATGAGCATATATACATGATATCATCATGAAATAGTTTTGTCACATTCGTTTTTTATCCATCATGGGCGTCAACATTATGAAGATGTTGTGAATGAATACATCACTTTAAAGATACTGAAAAATCTGGGAAAACCCCTAAATTTCATATTGCAATGTTGTGATTATAACAATATAGTTATCTAATCTTGTTTTAAAAACTCAATTAAAATATTGAATTTGTTATTTAAAAGGATTAAGTAAGTTGTTTCCAACGAGATACTGAATATCAATCAAATCCTATTGGCAATCAGCTGATTTTCATGACAACGTATTGTACAGTAGACAAGATAATGTTTAAGATATAGTGTGGTCTACTTCTGTTGGTGAATTAGGCAGTACATTGGGAGATAATCGTCAGTTTTTGAAGAGTACTAAGTTCTTTAATCTATGGTCCATGTTGCACACACAGGACTACAGGGGTCTCACGTTATGGAAGTCAATTGCTGAAAATCTGTTGTTAAGGTCTGACGGAGGTTTGTGTTGTGTGTGCCAGCTACTGTAAAATACATGTACAATTATATTATGCACATGCACAAACTTGTCGCAATTATGTTTACAATAAATACAAAGAGGTTTGGTTGGGTTTGGGTCACAAAATATTTAAAGAAATCTGATATCTGCCATATTGTCTGCATAAGAATTGGAAAATTTCACTTTTAGCCTAGGCCCTGTTGTGAAAATTGTAACAATCCTGAAGAAATCCAGGAGAAATTCAAATTCTGGAAGAAACTGTGGAGTTTCCTGGAGACCAGGAGATGAACCAAAATTCCTGTTGACTCAGGGCAATTCTGGAGAACTTGGGAACTCTAGGACTAACAGCTTAAACATCTAATCCTCATGAGGAACCACAGACTAAGTTAGTGGTACAGTGCCAACTGAGCTAAGGTGAAATTTTAACAGCAAAATATACAAGAAAAATGCTGAACAAAGATTGGGACCATTGGCAGGAAATGGATAAAAATATAAAAAAACTTTTGCCTACAGTACTTCTACTATATGAAATTAAATCATTAAAAGCTGGACATACAAAAATGAATAAGGATGACATCTGCTTGATAGGAATTTACCTAACATAAATCAGACAATATCTACACAATGCCGATCAATGTATATCTACATACATTGGTGGAAGTCTAAATTTATCACATGAATTAATTAATACTGGTACGCAAACTCAGGTAGAGAAAATTTATGGTTTTTAATAAAAAATATTTGGAATTAAATTAAACTTCAAAATAAGAAAATCTTTTTTCGAGTTATGAACATTGCTCATGTTTCACTTGTGAATATGTACAAACGACGATTAATATTAATTTTTAAAAAAACACTGAATAAAACTCAACGGTTGATCTTATGTGACTCGGCGAGATACAGTAACACAATACCGTTACTTCTATTCATTATGCAGTTGGTGAATAAGATATACAAATTACCACAAAGAAACTACTTAAGGATGACAATATTCATTGTAATCAAATATTATATGTTCAACTCTCTAGAGATAAAGGATTTCAAGAATTACAATCTAAGTACATTATTTACATATAATTAACATTAATTACTTTCAATTTACACAATATTTACTATTGTATTTAATCTTTCTCGACATGCTCATGAAGATTACAAATTTCAGATAAAATTAAATTAAGAATAACAATGCCATTTTAACTATGTTGAAAACCAGGGCCTTTGTGATAAGCATGCTATAAGTCATTTTGTCTATTTGTTCATTGATTTCATTTGTTCATTTAATAATTCACTCATTCTTTCAGCCATTCCTTGGTTTATTGGTTGATTCATTTATTCATTCTTTCAGTCAAAACAACAATTTAAACAAAAAAAAAACAAGTATAATATTGAATTTCATTTATGTTAAGTTAAAGAAAATAAGAGTTTTTTTTACACCAGTAGCTTTCAATCTGCATTTTTGGACCTTCTTCAGCTGAATGACATTGGCAAGTAGACAATGTCTACTTCATAGATGCAGAACATCCACCTGCCCTCTTCCCCTCCCCTCTTGGGAATGAGATAAGGGTTGGTGTAGGAATTACCAATTTTGGAGGTTCTACTTTTCAATGTCATTCAGCCGAAGGTCTGAGAATGCAGACTAAAAGCTACTGGTGAGAAATAACTCTTATTTTCTTAGCTTAAGAATGAAATTTGATATTATACTACGCAAGCAAAATGAAGTTATCTGATAAAAAACAAGGTTTAACAATATATAATAATTCAAAACAACCAGAAAAAAGAAAATTGAAATATTAAAAACTGACCGCATAAATAATTATGAAATTTTAAATTATCGATTTCCATTAAAAGAAATTTAAACATTAATGCAAATACATGAAATAATTCAAATAAAATTTTAATTCTGGAATTGATAAACTTTGGATATTGTAATTCACAGATAATTACTTAAAACAAAACGGAATGACTCTCCAAATGGTCTTCACAAAAGCAAAACAGAATATTAAGATATTCGGTGATGTGTGAGGGTGAAATCTGGAAATTCCCTCAAAACTTGATTCAGATTCTAGACATCTCAACTCTACTAGAAAATCATTTATTATTTAGGGTCTATTGAAAATGGTAATTATAGATACTGTAGATAAATATAAATCAAAATTAAAAGAAAAAAAAAATAAAAAAAGAAAAAAAAGAAAAAAATATATATATATTTATATATAGATTATATAAATACAAGAAACAGAAAAAAAAAACAAAAGGGTAAATTAAATGAGATTTTTAAAGGATTGTAAGGAAAGCGAATGAATATTGCTATGAAGTTCTGATGATAGATTATTCCATAATTTAACTGAGCGATATTTAAAAGTTCTTTTTCCAAAATCATTTCACTATTGTGGTAAGACTAAAGTGTTTTTTTAAATTTACTTCTTGTATTTATGCTATGGTAAGCATTAATTAATTTGTAAAAATTAGTTAAATATTCAGGAACAGTGCCCGATAAGCATTTAAATGTCATAAGGAGTATTATGTTCCCATTGTTGGTTTACATCCTTCCAGTTAAGAGATTCCATGAGGTCATTAACAGGTGTTTTTATATCAGCATGCAAAATAATTCTGGCTAGCCTATAGTAAAACCTGGAGTGAATTAAGGTGTGCAGCTGTGCAATTGGACCATACAGTACTACAATAATTGGAAAAAGGTAATACAAAAGAATTTGCTAAAAGTCTAAGAATTTGGTAAAAAATATCTTAACCTATGAATAACACCAATACATTGAGAAATTTTGAAACAAAAATTCTCAATATGATTATCCAATGTAAAGAGAGTATCAAATGTAATTCCTAAGTATTTAAAGTTATCAACTCTATCAATTACATGACTGTTTATTGATAAGGAAATATTTGAAAATTTTGGGAAATTAAATTTTGAACAAATACTATAAATTTTGTTTTAACAATATTAATTGATAATTCATTTTTTATTAAACCATTTAGATAATAGATGATGAAAACTAGTTTAAAGTAGTGCTCTGATTCCATATTATTTAGGTTTGTTAAATAAAATAGTATGGTTAACAGTGTCAAAAGCCTTCTTTATATAGCAGAAGTAACTTTGCCATTGTTAAAATTATTAAGAATAATAAATGCAGTATTAGTAGATTGAAATGGCCTAAAACCAGATTGACAATTGGTACTATATTATACTATATTTAAAATTAAAAAGAAGGTGATTTTAAAATATGAAACATATTCTTTAAATTTATTATATTATTGAAGCTTAACAGAGGTAACATCGTTATTGATGTAGTACTGTAGAACAAAGTAGAAAATAGAAAATGTGTCTTCTTGCAGGCGACTGAAGTATAGTGTAGTGAATGCCAGGATTTAGGAGTCACAATTATGGTACTAACAATTATTAAACTTATACTAGATTCACCAATAAAATCTAGCAAAATGTAACAAATTGTTTCATTAAAACCAACGTAACATTCATCTGGTTTGTAGCTGTAGAAAACCATGGGTGGGGTGGTACACATTTTAAGGGTAGATGGATGACAACTCCGCTCCTGTCCATGTAAGACAATGGGATTTTCCCTTCCCCTGACGACTACAAACTTTATCACGACCTCGTGGAAAAAC